ATTGAAGTGTTGTTTAAAAAGTTGGTCACGATTTAACTTAGATTATTTTATACCTGTACTTATTTTAATACAACTCGTCCATAAGATCTTTTTAACGATCTTAAACTCTTTAACGCGTTGGATCTCTTACAACCTCTCTTATATAAAGTAAAATATAAAGAATAAATCGAGGAGAGTGACTAAGAGCAAAAAAATAAATATAAAAAAAGAACAAAAAGTAACAAAGCAAAACACAAAAAAAGTTACATTTAAACAACATTTATAGATATTTTATCTTATTTTCAAATCTTTTATCACCATAAGTAAAACTGTTGTGCTTTACCATTGGTAAATCATAATAAAACTTAAAACATAAACTTAGGTGTAAAAAGTGATATTTTAATTTAGCAGTGATATTTAAAGTGATATTTTAATTACAAAGAAACGTTTACATACAAAAAAAGTGAATTTATAATAAACAGGCATGGGCTCAAAGAAGATACGGATGACTAAAGTCACCACAATCTTTTCATAGAGCCCCCAGGTGGGCTTTACAAGTTAAAAAAAAATTAAATATCTCCAATATAATAAAAAGGTTAAAGTTTGCATAAATATTTCCATTAAATCAAGAAAGTAAATAACATCATATAGTTTTATCAATATTCATTTAAATATATCGGCAACTCTGTTAAATATCAAAATAAGAGCCAATTAACAAGTAAAAAAACTAAGAATAATGGAACTCGTTTTTCATTTCGAAAAATCAAGAAAACTATTTATTTAATTTAAAAATTTCATTTTTTATTATAAACTTAAAGGAATTTAATGATTTTACAGTATTTAAACTTTTTGTTTTTTAAAAAGTGTTCCATAGTTTTGGTCCGCGGTATGATATTCCGTATGATATTCTAATGTTACATATGGACAAATACGGTACATCAGACCAATTGTTTTACTAATTTTTGATTGAATATAATTAATATGGGGAAGCCATAACAAATTTTCATCAATAAGAATTCCAAAGAATTTTATTAAACCATTTTTACTAAGTAGTGCATCATTTAAAATCAAATCAGGTAATTTTAAAGGAAGTTTTTCATCTTGTGATTTTTTATGAAATAAAGTATATTTTGTTTTATCTACATTGAGTGAAAGTTTATTTGCCTTACACCATTCATCTACATTCATTAGTTCAGAGTTCATGTCAGAATACAGTTGATTAATGTCACAGTTTGAAAGGAAGAGATTTGTGTCGTCAGCAAACATTATTGAGTTAAGCTTAGCTGATGCATTATTAAAATCATTTACATAAATCAAGAAAAGCAATGGACCAAAAATTGACCCTTGTGGAACTCCACACAAAATATTAAATTGACCTGATTCCTTACTAATAGCATATTGTTTTCTCTGAGTGAGATAACTTTTTAACCAATCATAGGTTTTATTTATCACTCCGTAGTGTTTTATTTTTTCCAAAAGAATTAGACGATCAACCGTATCATATGCTTTTGATAGGTCAATAATCCTAAAGTGAAGCTATTATTTTCAAATCCTTTAGTAATTTGGTCTACTATTTCAATTATTGCGTGTTCTGTTGAATGGTTTTTCCGAAAACCAAACTGTTTTGTGTAAAATAAATTATTTTCATTAAAATGGTTATAGATTCTATTTTAAATTACACGTTCAAATTTTTTTGAAAATATAGAAAGTACTGATACAGGTCTATAATTAGATATTTCAGATTGATCATTGTTTTTGTAAATTGGACATACTTTTGCCAACTTGAATGTTTTAGGAAAAATTCCTTCTTTTATTGAAAGTTTTATAATATGGAACAAAGGTTTTGAGATGTATTTTTTGTTTGAAATAACTATATTACTAAAAATATCATCGAAACCAGGTGATTTATTCTTTTTTTCATACTCAATTTCATAAGCGATTTCACTCTCTTCATGAGAAAATTCGCGATCTTGCACTATCGTACCATTTAAAGGTTTAAGATATTTTTGAAAAGAATTTGGTGTAGTTAAGATTTTTTTAGCAAGGTTAGGACCAATGTTTGTAAAATATTTATTTAACTCATTCGAGATTTGTATTGGACAATAGATATCAGTTTTATTGATATTTATTCTTTGAGGTAGTATAGCCGTATTTATTTTCTTTCTTCCCATTATATCGTTAATTAAATCCCATGTTTTTTTCACATCGAATTTGTTTTTTGTAATTTCTTTACTATAAAATGTTTTTTTAGCTTTCTTGAGAAGATTTTCGTAAAAGCGTTTATATTTTTTGTAACTTTTTTCATTAACTTCAGTTATGTTTTTTAAAAACTTATTGTTAAGTTTTTGTTTATTTCTTGAACATTTTATAAGAGTTTTATCCATCCAAGGATTAATATTATTTTTTTTTAGTTATTTTGAATTCATACGGGCACGTTTCGTTATAAATGTCAAGAAATGTGTTTAAGAAAATATTAAATGCTTTATTTGTATTATCACAATTAAAAACTTGATTCCACGTCTCTTCCTTTAGTTTTTCGGAAAGATTATTCTTATTAACTTCTGATAGATTGCGTTTTTTTAGAGTTATAACTTTGGGATCCCCGTTAGATGGGGCTTTGAAAGGATTTATTTTAACGTATATTGGGAAGTGATCACTAATATCAGTTTTAAAAATACCTGCCTCAAATGACGTTTCTATATAATTGTTGTATATATAAGAATTATAACTATTTTATTTGAACATTGGCTAGTTAGGAAAACTGCTGGATACGGTTACAGATCTGGTTGCAAATAAAACTTTGAAAAAATAACTTTAGGTGAACCACTAATTGTTTTACCACACAAAAAGGATCTTTGATCTCATCAGCCCTACAGATACAGAATTATTAGAGCAATAAGGCATGGAGTGTCACCTCACAATAGGTCCTGTTTCTCATTTCAGATTGCTCACTACAGCCAACCGTTTTTGTAGATTTTGGGTTTTAATTCATTGAGACCCACAATCTACATTTATACCTATGCTGATAAACTGACCAATCTAATTGAGTGGAAACATTCAGTATACGATTCGTATATTGAATTTTAGATCGGCCAATTTATCAGCATCAGTATTTTGTTTGCTCAGCTTTTTATGAGGCACGTGGGTAACATGCACATTAATGATATAGTTCTCAAGCAAACAAGTAAAAATATCAGAATTTAGTTTTAGTTTTTTGTCTATGCCAACTTTAAAACACCAAGCATTTTTGTTCCCAAATCTAGGGTCAATTTTATCCGGGTGGGTGAGAACCCACCAAAAAATAATAAACACAAGCTCAAACTTATTTTTATATGAATGGTATTTTTTCTAAATCAAGGTGAGAGTTCAATTTTAAAAATCGATAAAATATGAATTACCCCAATATTGGGACAAAAATGTAAAGATCATGCGCCCACAAAAATAATATCGGTTTGTTGCGCCCCTGTATTGAAAACGGCGGTATTTAGAAGAAAAGTTGAAATAATTACAGACATAAAACATGTTAGTTCTGAAAAACAGTTCTAAAATTGTGATTGACACCTGTTATCATCATAAAGTATTTTTCCAAAACAGAGATTTATTTTAATTACTTTATTCTTTTATCTATTTTAAATTTTCAGTTTGTTATAACTATCTATTCAATTATACTATAACTCTTTAGAAATTAAATTTATAATTTAAAAAAAGAATGTTAGATAATTATAATAATAACTAAAAATTTAAAATATCTTTAGAATATAAATAATATTTATTATTATGACTATTTACATATATATATATATATATATATATATATATATATATATATATATATATATATATATATATATATATATATATATATATATATACATATATATATATATATATATATATATATATATATATATATATATATATATATATATATATATATATATATATATATATATATATATATATATATATATATGTATATATAAATATAAATAATATTTATTATTATGACTATCATATATATATATATATATATCACAAATCATATATATATATATATATATATATATATATATATATATATATATATATATATATATATATATATATATATATATATATATATATATATATATATATATATATATATATATATATATATATATATATATATATATATATATATATATATATATATATATATATATATATATATATATATATATATATATATATATATATATATATATATATATATGATTTGTGCGTGTGTGGTGTGTTTATATACTGCAAATATTAATAAAAGAACTAAATAAATCATTTGTATGATAAACGAAAATAGTTAAATTTATTTGATTTTGTTTTTAAATTAAGAATGTATACATAAAAAAAAAATTCATCTCATAATTAATAATGTCCGAAAAAAGTTTAAAAACATAAGAAAATATTTTATTTTAAATTAATAGTTGCCTGCCAAAACCAAAACATTTAATCAATATAGTTGTATTCCTTGAATGTTTTTTTATGTACATACATACAGGGATGCGGAATCCCAAAAAGGACTCTGGATTTGAAAGTCACAAAAAGATTACTTCATCCTAGTTTTTGGTATCCAGGCGCGCTAAAAAATAAATAAGTTTATAGACTACTAATAGGAAAAAAGACTTTTAGGTTAGAGAAACAGTTATTTTTTGAACCCAGAGTCCTTATGTATAATGGTGGCAAGGACTTCGGGAGTCCAGCACTCCATGCTTACAAACAATAAGTTTTAAGTCATTAAATCTCATGAATATTTTTCTTATAGCAGAACATATGTCAACAAACATGTTTAGAGCTTCTGGACACTACAGACTTGATAGTAGAGAAATAAAGCCAGAGTTTTTGGGACTCTGCATCTGTGTATACATGTATATATATATATATATATATATATATATATATATATATATATATATATATATATATATATTCACATTTATTATATATATATAATATATATATATATATATATATATATATATTCACATTTAGAAATTTTGTTATTAATATATTCAAATTTATAAAAAAAAGCAAACAAAAAAAGTTATAATCTTCATTGTTATGTCAAGTGATTGCTGTAAAGAGCTAAAGATTTTTCTTGATAATGGTATGTTTTTTTAATTTTTTAAATAAAGACATGTTCCCTGTTTGTATTACTGTAAAAGTCCCAAAATGATTATATATACTTGAAACAAGTTGTGAAAGCGTGTCTAGAGGCAACTGTAGCTAGAGCCGTGGAGCTGCAAAGCAGCTAAATTTTGTTAGAGTTGGAGCCATAAACTCGTGCAGCTCTCAGCTTTCAAAAAATTTTTTTATCATTATTATTACTTATTGACTTAAAATATTAAAAACTGCAAAATGAGTTACATAACAATAGTGCTATGTATTGTTAAAAAGTAACGAATAGCGTACTGTTTTGTCATCAAGGTCAAGATGTTTTTTTGTTCAAATTTTATTCCCAAAATCACTTATGTTTTAAAAAAAATCAATTATTTCTGTGAAATGTTTGTCTGAATATCAGTCCTAAAATGCCTTCTAAAAAAATATTTTTAGAATAAACTTTGCTCTATTAATTAAAATTAACAATGAATATCCCATAAACAAAAAAGAAAAGTTAAAACTAATAAAAAAACTAAAAAAAATAAATTAAAATGCTAAAAGTCTTGATGAATGATAAAATAAATAAAAGATAAACCAGAAAAAATAAAAGTATAAAATTAATGTAATTTTTTTTTAATTTAAAAGTGTTTCACTTCATAGAATTCAGAAAAGATTGAAGTTTTGAAGTTAGTTAATCCAAGCTTGATTACTTTGAAACTTAACTATTTAAAAATTTGAAAAATTTGATATTTTTTAATGTCTACTAATTTATTGTCTACAAAGCAAATAAAACATTAAAAAAAAAATTTTTTTTTGTAGGATTTCAACCCGCATCTAATAACGAACTATCAGTCGTGCCTCAAACATTCTAAATGCTACACTAACATTATGTGAAAAATTATTAGCTTTAAACCTTTAATTGAAACACTTTTAAATTAAAAGAATTATAAGGTTTGAACTATATTTATTATTATTTTAATTTTGATTTTAATTTCAATATTAGCAATTCTGTTCATTCAACTTTTACTAAAGGTTAATAATTTTCGCAGTGCTTTAAGGTGTGTTTTAAATAAAAGAGATAACTATGGTAAACTTAATGATTAAAAAAAATAGTTTTATATATACTAGCTGACCAGACATGTAAAAATATGGGTTTTTGAAAGTCTATCCCAGATAGACATTTTCTATACCTTTTTCTTTATTAGGTGTATCGTGATTGTAAATCGCGATTGCTTTTCTCACCTTTGCAATTAGTTTTTTCTTAACAAAAATATTTTTGTGATTTGTTTTTTTTTTGTTTTTTTTTTATAGTTTTTTTTTTCTTTTCTAATTTAGCATATTTATTGGCCATGCTTAAAAGTAATGTTTTTGTTTAAGTTTTTTTTATATGGGGTCATAAATTATGTCATGCTCAATTTATCCTTTAAATTATGTCATGCTCAATTTATCCTTTAACTAATCATTTGCTCTTTGGCACAGAGATGCTAATTTAACATAAAGTGCTTTTGAATTTAAATTGCTTCAAAACTTCACATGAAGTTAATTTTATTTTAAAGTTATATTTATTTTGATTTACTGAATGTTCATCACAATAAATTTACCTTTAAACTAAATCAAAACTACCAATTAAGTTACTATGGTAACTTAGTTAATCAACTATTAAATTTAATTAATATACTCAAAAACTCGCATATGTACTTAATATACTCCAACACTCACATATTTTATATGTTGTTAATACATAATATAAGCTGTTAACTAAAAATTATTTTAGCAAGAAATCTTGAATAGAATATTATAATATAAAGTGATATCAAGATCAAACATTTTTTATAAATACGCAAGTTGTTATTAGGAATTTTATTTTAAAAGAAATCTATTTGAACAAAAGAGTTTTAGTCTCATAAAATTCTCATATTCAAATAATTTTGTGATTAAAATTTAAAATTGAAAAAAAAAAAAAAAAAAAATTAGCAAAATTTAAAAAACTTTTAATGCTCAATAGTTATAAGTTTAATTTAGTGGCATCTGGAATACTCAGCATAGCAAGAATCGTTGCTGAAAGTTAAACTTTTATCTAGCTGCAGTAACAATATCAGATTTAGAACATAGTGCAAGTGAGGAAGAAAGTTTTATTTAAATTGTAAACATGAAATTTTTATAAAATTTCTGTTCTTTTGAGACATATATATATATATATATATATATATATATATATATATATATATATATATATATATATATATATATATATATATATATATATATATATATATATATATATATATATATATATATATATATATATTATATATATATATATATATATATATATACTCTTGCATGTCTCTTGCGTGGCATCAAAAAATGTTTCCCATAAACTGTAGTTTTAAAGAGCGCGTTAATAAACCAGACCAGAAAAAGTTTTAAAAATTAAATTTTTTTTTTTAATTGATAGACTGCCTGGCCAAACCAAACCCTCAGTCGATGTAGCAGCACTCTCTTGCAAGTCAGGCTATTTGTCAGTCGTTGTAGCAGCACTCCCTTGCGAGTCAGGCTATTTGTCAGTCGATGTAGCAGCATTCCCTTGCGAGATAGGCTACTTGTCAGTCGATGTAGCAGCACTCCGTTGCGAGTCAGGCTATTTGTCAGTCGATGTAGCAGCACTCCGTTGCGAGTCAGGCTATTTGTCAGTCGATGTAGCAGCACTCCGTTGCGAGTCAGGCTATAAGATAGTCGATGTAGCAACATTTACGCATGTTTTAAAAATGTTTTTTATTAAATCAATAACAAAAACACCACTAATTAAAAAAAAACTTTCTAGTCGTTATAATTGCGGTTTTTTAAAAATTTTTTAAAAAACAATTAAATTTAATGTACTTCCGCATAAATTAATTGCTTTGACATTTCGATGACAATCAAAAACAGCTTAAGAGACGAGGTAATTAAAATTGTAGTCATAAGAGACTTTTTTTACATTAAAATGCTCTTAAAGCTACACTATATGGGTATATATATATACATATATATATATATATATATATATATATGCATATATATATATATATATATGTATATATATATATATACATATTATATATATATATATATATATATATATATATATATATATATATATATATATATATATATATATATATATATATATATATATATATATATATATATATATATATATATTGTGCATCACGGTATGTTCACTAATATTTGCACACTAGATTATTGCAATTCCCTCTACTTTGGAATTGAAAAGACACTATTAGAAAATTGTAGTTTGTTCAAAATTGTGCAGTAAGACTAGTATTTAAAGCTAGAATAGCAAATCATATAAGTAGCCAGGAATTTAACAATTTGCATTGGCTGAAAATTAGAGAAAGCATCTATTTCAAGGTCCTTTCAATAATACGCAAATCTATTAATCTGGAAGCACCAACGTCATTATGGAATTTAGTTTATTTCTCAATGTCAGAAAGAACACTAAAGTTAATGGAAACTAAATGCAATAGTTGTTTTGGTAATCAAGCATTATCCCACTATGGTCCTAAACTTTGGAATATATTTCCAAATATTATCTGTTACGAAAAAAAAAAAATCTTATATAAAGGTGAATGGTGAACTATTCCACCAGAAAACTCTTAAATGTTAAATTAAAAATGCTTAAATATTAATATTAAAAATTTTACTATATAATTGTAGACAGCTGAGCAATTGTTAGCTGTCTTAACTTTTTGGACCCGTAAATATGGGTTTTCAACTAACTGACCATTTCTATACTACATTGATCATTTCGATAATTATTCCTAATCTATTTCAATATATTTGAGTAAATGGTAGAAAAATAAAGCTTAAAAAAAAAAAGTTACTTTAAGATCAAAACAAATTAACATGGGAACCTTTTCCAAAAACTCACACCTTATAAGAGTTTTATAAAATCTTTTATTTTTCTCCTAACCATATATCTACGATATCTTCATGGTTTGGTGCACTGTTGTCAATTTTGATTGCAAGACTTCAAATCTGCCCCTGACCATTTATACATTTTTGAATTTTTTTTATCTTGCCATATATATTTATGACACACAGTCTTCGCTAATTACCTGAGCACATTATTAGTTACACATTAATCTCTACCATGACAAATAGAACTCAAAAAAAACTCTTGCTCCCCTTACTAAATTGTCTGGATCTGCGTCTGAGATGGCCTAATTAAACCTTAAAAACTATGTATATGTCACATATACTATGTATATGTCACAAATTGTGTGTGCACCTTACTTAGAAAATACACTTAAAAGCTTAAATGGTATGAGAAATCTGAATGTGAAGAGATGAATATCATTTAAAAACATAAAACAAAAAGATTTTTTATATACAGTAAAGAAAAGATAAATGGTTACAAAGCAAATATATGACCAGCTGTATATAAAAGAAAAATAATTAAAAATATAGACAGCAGTTGGATTTTAACTAAGGATATTCTGTGTATGAAGTAAACGCCATATCCAAATAAATTATAAAAAGTCGTATAATAAAAAAAGTTATACATAAAAGTATACCTATGCATTGTAAACGACCGGGGTTGATATTTGACCAGGGCCGGGGCCAGGTCCGGGTTTTATAAAATATAGTCTGGGCCAGGTTTGTGACTAAGCCTGCAGAAGCATTTATATATCCTAAAGTTTATTTTTTTTATTAAAAACTCATGTTATATTTTGTATATATATGCATATATAAACGTCATTATGATCAATATGATCATCATCATCATCATCATCATCATCATCATCATCATCATCATCATCATCATCATCATCATCATCATCATCATCATCATCATCATCATCATTATCATCATCATCATCATTAGTATATGGTTCTCTGTTTGTTATTGCAACAAGGTCATCGGCTCACAGGATTTTAGATTATTGCCGTGCCGCTCAGTATTTTTTAAATTTTTTTTCAGTATTACCAATAAGAAAGATCTAA